TTAATTTACTGAGACTATGCTTTTCATTTTGGCAATACGTTCTAAAATGGGTTCTACAGCTTCAAACGCCTAGATCCGACAAAGCAGTGAAACCAATAGGCCTAGTACCTATTTGATTACAGATAAAAATCACACTAAACTGTAGATATTTTTTCACATTTCTATTAAATAATCCATTACGGTTTTCAAAGAGACGTGTGAAAAAATAACGTTTTAAGTTCAAAAGATCTTACGTTGAAAATCAATTTCAAAACCTCTAATGTTGCTTTCGCTTCGTTCTGTAATCACAACTATACCCTTAGAATAATTAAACATTTTTGTTTACACTGAACAACTATGATACCTTTTGTTGTTACTTCTTCTTTTGCGAACAAAATGCAAGTAGGCATTTTTTGTTTTGAGCGAAACTGAAAGTAGCTTTGAAAACTCAAGTATCTGTTCCACAGTATTCAAAACTAAAGTATCCAGTATTAAAACTCCAGTATCAAGTATTCCAGTGTATTAAAACGCAGTATCCAGTATTTTACAGTATTAAACTCAGGTATCTATTCAACAGTATTTCTATTTTCATCTTAATTCAGTTTCCTTTAAGACAGAATCTTCGTCAGAAATACGAATGTATTTGTTTGATTTAGAACAAAGCCATATTGGGATATCTACTGTGTTCAGCTCGGAGAATCGAACCCCGGATTTTAGCGTCGTAAGTCCGTAAACTTACTGCTGTCCCGCTGGACGACTGATCAAATGTGTTAAAGCAATCGAGAGAGCTATAAAAAAATGTCGTAGTTTTTGATTTCTTTCATGCCGATCAAGATACCTAAAGACTAAACAGTATAGAAGATACCTAATAACTAAACAGTATAGAAGATACCTAACGACCAAACAGTGTAGAAGATACTAATGATGAAACAGTATAGAAGATACATAATGACCAAATAGTATAGAAGATACCTAATGATCAAATAGTATAGAAGATACCTAATGATCAAATATTACAGAAGATACCTGATGATGAAATAGTATAAAATATACCTAATGACCAAACAATACAGAAGATAACCAATGATTAAATAGTACAGAAGATACCTAATGACCAAACAGTATAGAAGATACCTAATGATGAAATAGTATAAAAGATACCTAATGATGAAATAGTATAGAATATACCTAATGACTAAATAGTATAGAAGATACCTAATGACCAAACAGTATTGAAAATCCCTAATGACCAAATAGTATAAAAAATACCTAATGACCAAACAATATAAAATATACCTAATGACCAAACAATATAGAATATACCTAATGATGAAATAGTATAGAAGATACCTAATGACCAAATAGTATAGAAGATACCTAATGACCAAACAATATAGAAGATACCTAATGACCAAACAATATAGAATATACCTAATGATGAAATAGTATAGAAGATACCTAATGACCAAATAGTATAGAAGATACCTACTAATGAAATAGTATAGACGATACCTAATGACCAAACAGTATAGAAGATACTTAATGACCAAACAATATAGAATATACCTAATGACCAAACAATATAGAAGATACCTAATGACCAAACAATACAGAAGATACCTAATGACCAAACAATACAGAAGATAACCAATGATGAAGTAGTACAGAAGATACCTAATGACCAAACAGTATAGAAGATACCTAATGATGAAATAGTATAGAAGATACCTAATGACCAAACAATATATAAGATACCTAATGATCAAACAATATAGAATATACCTAATGACCAAACAATATATAAGATACCTAATGACCAAACAATATAGAATATACTAATGATGAAACAGTATAGAAGATACCTAATGACCAAATAGTATAGAAGATAACTAATGATGAAATAGTATAGAATATACCTAATGACTAAATAATATAGAAGATACCTAATGACCAAACAGTATTGAAAATCCCTAATGACCAAATAGTATAAAAAATACCTAATGACCAAACAGTATGAAAGATAACTAATGACCAAATAGTATAGAAGATACCTAATGACCAAACAGTATAGAATATACCTAATGATGAAATAGTATAGACGATACCTAATGACCAAACAGTGTTGAAGATACCTAATGACCAAACAGTATAGAAGATACCTAATGACCAAACAGTGTTGAAGATACCTAATGACCAAATATTCAATACGATCATAAGTTTGACCTCTGATTTTCAAACTAAAGTAAATATTATCATAGACTGGCCTGATAAAAGATCAGAAACTGGACAGTCACTGTATGTACTCAATGTTCAAGACATTTGACGAATATACTCATATGTTTGTAAAACCACACTTCCATGTAAGTTTCTACTTAATCATTTCAGAAGGTAATGTACGCTACGATAATACATCAAGGAATTAGCAGTAAACTATGTATAACAATATTTCTGCAAGTTGGCAAACCAACCAATCAGCTTTCACATCAGGTGAAAAACATACTCATAATGAATTGATTTATTTTATTTCAGCATTTATTACATTTTTAAAAGACCTACTTATTTCACGATTTCTGAGCAAAGCGAAACGTTTTACTAATCTAAAATATGACGATGTTCTGTGACAAATGAACAAAATAACATTCAAAAATCTTTTGTTTTCATTAGAATGTTAATAAAATATATAGGAGTTGCGTCTATAAAAACTCGTAAATAACGGGATTATAATTCTAACTACCTAAATTGGTATTCAAACTTAAAAAGTGTAATAAATATTCTACTATTTAAGGTAGATATCCTTGACTTGGTATTCAAACTTAAAAAGTGTAATACGTATTCTATTATTTAAGGTAGATATCATTGACTTGGTGTATGAAACGACCGTTTATTTGTATTTCTAAACGTTTATTACCTTCTGCACCACTTTTGAAATGTGGTCATTACTTAGGTTGATACTGGTGGATATACTTTACATAAATAACTGCTATACGCTGAGGGAATCGAACTTTAAAATATCGGCGTTTAAAGCACCCCGCAGCCATTGAATCTATTTCATCTTTCATCGCTATTGCTCACCTGCGACGACAATCCACTTTACACATACAGACTGTTTTTATAAACTTTGATTAATCCCTTGTGTATCATTCAGCCTGAATGCATAGCATAATAAAAATTTTAATTGTCTAATAACCGTAAAAAATATTTATCTGACTTACGTCCACAATATTTTCAAGAAACCACGATTAAAATAGATCAAACGCTTCAGAAGGAAAATCTTGAAAATTAGACATTTTTCTGAGTATTTAAATAGAAAATAAAAAATACATTGTAGAGAAGTGGATCTGTTATAAACACTTCGCAACAGAAATAAATCTTGTGATACTGAACACAAATCTGTGCGTGCACTGTAAAAAATAACATAAAACAGAAATAAAGGGAAAAAAATCGAAACCTGATATTAGAACACAACCTGGAAATCGATAATCAGTGGAATGTTAACCGCAAATTTTATTGCTCAATGGTTCGTGAAAAAAATATAAAATGTCAGGAAAATTTTCATGAAGATTTAAAAATCATTCGCATTTCGCTTCGTCTCCTGTAGTTTTATTTTGATGTTTCTTTTTTTATGTTCCTACTTGGACAATTCGTGACCTTTATGGGTCCAAACACAATACTGCTGAAAATAAATTTTAATTCTAGGAATTTCATAATACGAGAAGATAAAATACCGTGGTTTCAAGGCCTAGAAAGATCCGATAAAAACTTTTAATATAAATTAACTTTTTCCATCTAAGTTACACGAAGAAAAATAATTCGTCCAATAAAAGAATGGAAAGGAAGATGTAGCACGTTCACTAACTCCTACACTGTCACTAATTCCTAAACGTTCACTAACTCCTACACTGTCACTAACTCCTACACTGTCACTAACTCATACACGTTCACTAACTCCTACACGTTCACTAACTCCTACACTGTCACTAATTCCTACACGTTCACTAACTCCTACACTGTCACTAACTCCTACACTGTCACTAACTCATACACTGTCACTAATTCCTACACTGTCACTAACTCATACACGGTCACTAACTCCTACACTGTCACTAACTCCTACACTGTCACTAACTCATACACTGTCACTAACACCTACACGTTCACTAACTCCTACACTGTCACTAACTCATACACGGTCATTAACTCCTACACTGTCACTAACTCCTACACTGTCACTAACTCCTACACTGTCACTAACTCATACACTGTCACTAACACCTACACGGTCACTAACTCCTACACGGTCACTAACTCATACACTGTCACTAACTCATACACGTTCACTAACTCCTACACTGTCACTAACTCATACACGATCACTAACTCATACACTGTCACTAACTCCTACACTGTCACTAACTCCTACACGTTCACTAACTCCTACACTGTCACTAACTCCTACACTGTCACTAACTCATACACGTTCACTAACTCCTACACTGTCACTAACTCCTACACTGTCACTAACTCCTACACGTCACTAACTCCTACACTGTCACTAACTCATACACGTTCACTAACTCCTACACTGTCACTAACTCATACACGTTCACTAACTCCTACACTGTTACTAACTCATACACGTTCACTAACTCCTACACTGTCACTAACTCCTACACGGTCACTAATTCCTACACTGTCACTAACTCATACACGTTCACTAACTCCTACACTGTCACTAACTTATACACGTTCACTAACTCCTACACTGTTACTAACTCATACACGGTCACTAATTCCTACACTGTCACTAACTCCCTACACTGTCAATAACTCCTACACTGTCACTAATTCCTATTCAAAGTTACCAGTGTTGTGACACAAGTTAATAAATCGTATAAAAGGTTTCAGCTTTTACCAAACAGTGTCGCTTAATTGTGTTAAAACTGTATTAACCTTTATATTTTACTTTAGGTTATTAGTCTTACCACAAGATATCGCTAACTTACAAGAGAGGTTATCCTTACCGTACGATGAGGCAATAGAACCATATCTCTGCTTTCTGCGAGTCTTCGAAAACCTAACGGTTCTGAGAGCTTGGCGAACTATAAGTAAAATAGAATACACCGGGTCATCTGCTATAAACATCTCTCAAACTTACGGTAAATATCACCTTTCAGTTTTTATTTTGTTAATACAGTAACAATTTCGGTTTAATTCCAATATTAGAATATATTTCAAGCTTAATTTTAATTTGTTAGAAAGTTTGACATATCGTGATATGGCATACAAGAGACAGACAAGTTTAAAACACATTTAGGAACGAGTTGGCATTAAAATCCTAAACAAACGCAATCTATAACAGCGAAATATTGTAAGGCAGAGCATTCCTGTAAAATGTTCTTTACTCTCTTGTAGGTAAACTAGTCTACTTTACGATCAGCTAGGCAATAAAAATAATGACACAACAAAGTATTTACAAAGTGATCGAGAAAAGTTTAGTATTGGTGACAAACGAAGAGACGGTAACTTACATTTGTTCACCCAGTATCTCAAGTCTTTTACTTCACGAGTTTCAGTAACATCTGTCATCTTCGGTGTTTGTATTTCTGTAACGAGAGCAATCCGGTATCTTGTAAAGTCAATGTCATTTATTAAGCATGCTTAATGAGTTGAAATTAATGCTATTCTATAAGTATAGTTAATATTCACCAAAATCACTAATATGTTTGATAAGTATAGGTAATATGATATTCGGTATATCAACAAAATCATTGTAATTCGGTAAGCATGGTTGAAGATTGAAAAACAACATCAAAAACATTACTATTCTTTAAGGATTGATAATAATTCAAGAAAAATAAATGATATAATGAGTATATTTAATTATTCAAAGCTCATATATTTAGCAAACATATTTAATGATTCAGAACTCAATGACATTCGTTATGTATGATTAAATAATTCAAAAATCAATCATACTCAGTACGCTACGTTAACGACTCATAAATCCTTGCTAATTAGTAAGTATTACTTAATTACTGAGATGCCAATGATGCTCTAAAGATTAGGTCAAACCTTAAAGCAAGTGATATTTATGTAACAGGGCTATAATTTTGAAATAACTGATAATCATTAGGCATACTTTAATGATTCATAATACAATTACTTTTATGTATCTGATAAATTATTCAGAAAACAATATTCATTGCATCAGTTAATAACTCAGGAAACGATTCAGAAAACAGTGACAACAAAGTGTGTTTAATAATATGAAAAAGGACAATGATATTTAGATATAAGTGTGGTCTATCATGTAAATATAAATAGCATTTATAAACTTTGTTTAATGACCAGAAATCAATGATATTCAGGAAAAATCGATGATTATTTCAAAATCAATAATCAACAATCATGAAGAGCGATTCACAAATGAATATTTTAAATGCAAGACTTATAATTTATTACAATTGATGGTGTATCTTGTAAATAAATTTAATAATTATAAAATTATAAACGTTTAACAAATTGGGTGGTTCAGAAAGCAATATTGGCCCGGCATGGCCAGGTGGTTAAGGCACTCGACTCGCAATCTGAGGGTCGCAGGTTCGAATCCCCGTCACACCAAACATGCTCGCTCTTTCAGCCGTGGGGACGTTATAATGTGACGGTCAATCCCACTATTCGCTGGTAAAAGAGTAGCCCAAGAGTTGGCGGTGGGTGGTGATGACTAGCTGCCTTCCCTCTAGTCTTACACTGCTAAATTAGGGACGGCTAGCGCAGATAACCCTCGTGTAGCTTTGTGCGAAATTCAAAAACAAACAAACAAAGAAACAGAAAGCAATAAAATTATGATCACATTTCACAATCGTAAGTCATTGACATTCAGTCCGCATTATTAATGACTAAGAATAAATCAATTTCATTAACTATGCTTTATAACGAAGACAGGTTCTCAATGGGTGTAATAAATAACTTGTAAATCAATGATATTCAACAGGTGTAATATGATAAAAAAATAAAGTAAGTACTATTAGTGATTAGAAATTAAAGATATCAAGCAAGTTATATTAGTAATTAAAAATCAAGAATATTAAGCAAGTACTCTTAATGGTTAAAAACCAGGAATATTAAGCAAGTGCTGTTAGTGGTTAAAAACAAGGATGTTAACGATCACTGTTAGTGATTATAAAAAACAACGAAATTGTGCAATCATCGTTGGTGGTTAAAAAGCAATGATATTCAGCAAATAACGTTATAGGTTAAAAAACAATAATATTGCGCAAGCACTGTTAGTGGTTAAAAAAACAACGATATTGGGCAAATATTGATAATGGTTAAAAAATCAATTATATTAGCAACCACTGTTAGTGATTAAAACTCAAGGATATTAAGCAAGCACTGTTAGTGGTTAAAAATCCAGGATATTAAGCAAACACTGTTAGTGGTTAAAATCCAAGGATATTAAGCAAGCATTGTCAGTGATTAAGTTATATTAGTAATTAAAAATCAAGAATATTAAGCAAGTACTCTTAATGGTCAAGTCTATTAGCAAGCACTGTTGGTGATTAAAAATCAAGGATGTCGAGCAAGTATTGTTGGTGGTTAAAACAACAACAATGATATTCAGCAAATAATGTTACTGGTTAAAAACAACGATAATGTGCAAGCATTGTTAGTGATTAAAAATCAATGATATTAAGCAAGCACTGTTAATGGTTAAAAATCAAGGATATTAAGCAAGCACTGTTAGTGGTTAAAAATCAAGTATATTAGCAAGCACTGTTGGTGATTTAGAAATTAACGATAATCTGCAACCATAGTCAATAATACAAAAAGCAATTATATTCATTCGCCAGGGTTATTATAATTAAAAAATGCATAGTAACTGTTAATGATTTTCATATCTTTATGATAAATACCTTGTCAAATACATAATAGACAGACAAAGAAACACTTATACGGATAGACAAAATGTCTGAAACACATATGCATGAATATAAAGTTAACTAGCTGTTTCTTTTCTGAATTTATTACCAAATAAACGGCGATAGACAAATGGATGGTTTGGTATACCTGTATTTAGATATTAGTAAAAGTACTTTTAAACAGAGGTAAATTAAACACTGTTTTCTTCTTTTTCAGTGGTAGATTTGGTGAAAATACATCAAAAAAATATTCCAAGAGTCTGCAACCCACAGGACAAAAGTCTGTGTATAATTCTACATATTAAGTTATCCACGTTATGACTTTTTAAAAAACAACAAACAAATACAGCAAATAAGTATAGTTATGTCAGTTTATATCCTGAAAATATTGTAGCTATATCCCATATACTTGTCTAACTTTTATTTTTTCATGATGATATTTGTGGAGTATTCTTCTATAAGAATTACAAATATTTTCTTTAGAGTGGAGTGTTTGTTAGTTACACCAAAACTGGCTAATGCAGATGAAAAACTTGAATCTTAGACTGATCTTGTTCTAAAATTCTGCTGGTTACGACCGAATTCTGTTCTTTCAAAGATTTTAAGTTAAATGTATCACAATCAAGATCCGCTTACAACGTGTTTTTTAATTCAGTAAATGAAGTGCTTATCGAGGACATTAATGCTTATCAAATGTTTTCACGGCTGATGGTTGATAGCTAGATTGCCACATTTGGATTGTTTCGTATTTCGAGGAATAGGTAGGATAAACTGAGAAATACTTGTAATAATAATATGCACGTTAAAAACTATAAACACCTAATCTTAGTCGTTACGGTTATTATTTTTATAGCAGAGTCCTTATTAAATACCAATACCATTATTTTTTCTCTATCACTTACAAACTAATGATTTAATTTAATTTAAAAGTTGATATCACAAATGTAGTATTTATGGTTGAAATATTGACTCGTAACAAAATATTTAACCCTAATACCCTCTGCCTGATAAAAACGAGTTAGAACTTTAGTATCAGAAAGAGATTAATGAAAGTTAACAAAACCAAAACATTTCAAGTTTACCCAGGAATACGATTTATGGAGAAACATAAGATTCCACCGGAAATGACCTGCATTCGTAAGAGAATTTCAAATCCAAGGCTATAATAAATTATGGTTCACGTGTTTGGCAGGTACACTCATATAGGATTTTATCGGTTGCAAAATCAATGAATTTATTCGGCAAATAGAGCTTCATCAAGAATCTTCAGAAATGTAATCAAGTTTCCATCGAAGCAGAAGGAGGTGCTAATGATTTGTCTGGTATAGAATTATTTGCTTTATCTAACACCAAGTCCATGTTGCCAACAAAACAATTAATTAGTTTGTATGAAATAAAAACTATTGGGAGCATCCGTGCGTTGCAAACTATGTGCAATCAGCCTAACCACATAATAAACTTAGTTGCCTAGCCTTGATAGCTGACGAATACTAATACTTCTATGGCCTGTCTTGAAAGGTACAGTAAATCGAACTTGTGGTCCATATAAACGCAAAGGCCGGACATGGTCTCTAGCGGCTGACGTGTTTGGGCTGTGAATCCAGGGGTTCGTGGCAAAAACGCGCTCTCCGAACTTTGGGGTCACAGGTCAGACATGATAAGTCCAAGAGTTGGCGGTGGATGCTGTTGAATAATGACTATCTGCTTTTCCTTTAGTATATTAGCTCCAAATTAGGGACGGCTATACACAGATAGGCTTTAGTGTAGCTTTGTGCGAAAATTCTGAATCAAACAAACACACATAGCTGAGGATTGTGTAATTCATGTAAATAATTAATACATCGATATTTTCATTACGCAGTTCAATAATGATTAACTTTTCTGGTGTCTTTAATTTTTTATTTTAACTTAAAATATTTCACAGATACTTTCCCTTTTTATATTATTAATTAAACATAAGTTTAAGTAATGACTTTAAGCCACATTTTCAGCGAGATGAAACTTTTGATGTGTATATCTTCACACGTTTTTATAAATTGATGGCGAATAGGTCTGGTGTTACAACAGATTGAAGTAAGCGAAATGATCGAGTATCTGTTTTGTTTACTGAAGCTTTGTAATCTTGAACTTTGCATAAACTAATTTCTTATTGAGAAACAATCTTCTCAAGAAGTTTGAATATGTATTAACAATGATAAATATATATTTCGAGTAGCATCTCTAAATTGACCGCATTAATTTGAAAAAAACACAAAAAAAAACATCACCAGTGGCTAAAATTAAATTGAATTTCATTTATCGGGAGAAAAAAATCTCTTTCCCACTATGTTTTAGAAATTTCATTCAAAGTTACACAAAGGGCTATCTGCGCATAGCTATCCCTAATTTCACAGGCCTGCGATGGTTTGATTGTCTTGATATTTTTTACATGTTCTATAGTAATTCCTGTACGTTGAATCCGAAAATGATATAAATTTTTCTCCATCACGTACAGTTTTTCACAAAACATCATGTGTTCTTTTACATAAATGAACCATTTTAATTGAAATTGGATCACATTTTGTTATGTTTAAAATGTTGACAAACACTAGCTATAAATTTCTCTAAACCAATCGCGGCGTGAGAGTCTTATCGATCGTTTTAGAACCCACGAGAAACACACCGCTAGTATATAAACGGTT